CTATTGCCTGGACGGACTTGGGGCGTATAGAGGACCGCGGTGAAAGACCACCCCCTGCGCCACCCCCTGTGTGGTCGAGAAAGGGCAACGCCTGGTGTGCCCTGGACGACCGGGGCGTATAGAGGCCGCGGTGAGAAACCACCTTCTGCGCACCCCCGACGGCGTCGAGACAGTGGAACGCCTGCTGTGCCTGGACGACTGGGGCGTATAGAGACCGCGGTGAGAGACCAGCCCTTGCGCACCCCTTTATGGTGTCGAGAAGGTGCCACGCCTGCTGTACCTGGACGACCGGGGCGTATAGAGGCCGCGGTGAGAGACCACCCCCTGCGCACCCCTTACGGTGTCGAGAAAGTGCCACGCTTGCTGTGCCTGGACGACTGGGGCGTATAGAGACCGCGGTGAGAGACCACCCCCTGCGCACCCCCGACGGCGTCGAGAAAGTGCAACGCCTGCTGTGCCTGGACGACCCGGGCGTATAGAGACCGCGGTGAGAGACCAGCCCTTACGCACCCCTTATGGTGTCGAGAAAGTGCCACGCATGCTGTGCCTGGACGACCGGGGCGTATAGAGACCGCGGTGAGACACCACCCCCTGCGCACCCACTGTGGTGTCGAGAAAGTTGACAAGCCTGCTATGCCTGACGACTGGGGCGTATGAGACCGCGGCGGAGAAGACCACCCCCTGCGCCACCACCTGTGGTGTGCGAGAAAGTGCCACGCTGCTATGCCCGGACGACTGGGGTATAGAGACCGCGGTGAGAGACCACCCCCTGCGCACCCCCTGCGGTGTCGAGAAAGTGCCACGCCTGCTAGGCCCTGCGACATTGGCGCGTATAGGGGCCGCGGTGGGAGACCACCCCCTTGCGCACCCCCTCCGGTGTCGAGAAAGTGCCACGCTTGCTAGGCCCTGCGACATTGGCGCGTATAGAGACCGCGGTGAGAGACCACCCCCTGCGCACCCCCTCTGGTGTCGAGAAAGTGCCACGCCTGCTTATGCCTGGACGACTGGGGAGTTATAGGAGACGCGGTGGAGACACCCCTGCGCACCCCCTGTGGCGTCGAGAAAGGAAAGTGCCACACATGGCTATGCTGGGACGATGGGGGTATAGAGGACCGCGGTGAGGAGACCCACCCCTGCGCACCCCTGTGGTTGTCGAGGAAAGTGCCACGACCGCTTATGCTGGACGACTTGGGGCGTATAGAGACCGCGGTGAGAGACCAACCCCCTGCGCACCCCCTGTTGTGTGTGAGAGAAAGTGCCACGCCAGGTGTTATGCCTGGACGACTGGGGGTTATAGAGACCGCGTTGAGAGACCACCCCTGCGCACCCCCTGTGGTGTCGAGAAAGTGCCACGCCTGCTAGCCTTTGCGCCAGTGTCGTGGATAGGGACCGCGGTGAGAGACCACCCCTGCGCACCCCCTGTGGTGTCGAGAAAGTGCCACGCCTGCTAGGCTTTGCGCCAGTGTCGTGGATAGCGGCCGAGCTGAGAGACCACCCCCTGCCCACCCCCTTGGGTGTCGAGAGAGTGCCACGCCTGCTAGGCTTTGCGCCAGTGTCGTGGATAGCGGCCGAGCTGAGAGACCAACCCCTGCGCACCCCCTGCGGTGTCGAGAAAGTGCCACGAGCTGTGCTGTGCTGTGCTGAGCTGAGCCGTGCTGGGCTGTTCTGAGCTGTGCTGAGCTGTGCTGTGTGCTGAGCTGAGCTGAGCTGTGTGCTGTGCTGAGCTGAGCTGTGCTGCGCTGTGCTGTGATGTGCTGTGCTGTGCTGAGCTGTGCTGTACGAAGAGTGAGGTGTGTGTGTGTGTGTGTGTGTGAGTGTCGCGGGTGCGGCGCGGCAGGGAAGAAAACCAGAACCCCACGAAGCATGTGGGGAAGAAAACCATAACCCCACGAAGCATGGAAGGAAGAGGAGGGGGAGCAGGAGGAGGAGGAGGTGTGAGACGCGGGTGCGCCGCGGCAGGGAAGAAAACCAGAACCCCACGAAACATGTGGGGAATCGTCGAATTCCGAGAAACCCAGGGCACCCTGGAGGGAAACAGGGTGTTTCTTGGCATGGGTCTCCACTGTATGATTCTTGCCGGCTGGCTCTCCCGCCCTGCAGTGTGCCCACCCCTCGGCGGCCGGCGCAAAGCCCCTGGGAGCCGTGGCTGCGTGCAGGTCCACCGCTCCTCTTCCCAGCCCGCCCGTGGTGCTGGATCCTCGACTTGAGGAGACGCTCCCCGCGTCTCTTCCTCCTCTCCCACTCCCCTCCCCTCCCCGCTCCTCTCCCCTCCCCTCTCCTCTCCCCTCTCCTCTCCTCTCCCCTCTCCCCTCTCCCCTCTCCTCTCCTCTCCTCTCCTCTCCTGTCCTCTCCTCTCCTCTCCTGTCCTCTCCTCTCCTCTCCTCTCCTCTCCTCTCCTCTCCTCTCCTCTCCTCTCCTCCTCCCCCCCTCCCTGCTCCCATCCCCGCCACTGCGCTCCACATGCCCATGTCGGCACACTCCTCGCGCGTCTCGTAGCCCCTATCGGGAGCTCCAACCAAGGCTCAAATTCAAGCGTCCGCATGGCGGCGCCGCTCCATTTCGGCTCACCCATCACACGTTTCGTGGCCCCTATTGGGAGCCCATAGGGAGCTCCAACTGAGGCCCAACCGCATGGCGGCGCTGCCTTATTTCGGCACACCATTCGCACGTTTCGTGCCCCCATACTGAGCCCCAACGCAGGCCCACATGCCAAGGTCCGCATGGCGGCGCCGCCTGCTTTCGAAACACCTCTCACACGCTTTGGGGCCCATTGGGAGCCTCAGCCAAGGCCCACAAGATAAGGTCCGTATGTTGGAGCCGCCCTATTTCGGCACAACCTCACATGCTTTGTGGCCCCATAGGAAGCCCCCGCTAAGGCCCAACGTCTGAGCACGTGATTGACTACTTCGTCATTTCCAGGCAGTTTCGCGTCGCGCACGCCGAGGTGCTGATGGACTGGGAGTTCGGGCCGCATAGGCCTCTAGAGCTCATCGTTGACGGTACGATGATCGATGACTGGGTGCAGGTCATGCGCACGGCTAAGGCCTTTCCCAGCCCCTTCGCGGGACTTCGCGGATGAGTGGCGAGCACTTCAGGACCCAGCTGACGACGTCAGCGAGGCTTGGAGGCAGTTCATCGGCGCCACCGAGCGCTACCTGTGCGACATGGCAGGGCTCGACATCGGCAAGTACGGTGGACGTGCGGAGGGGCCAGAGCTCAGCTGGGCCAAGGCGTGCCCACCGTCAGCCCCCCGCATCCCGAAGGTAAGTAACACTTCGATTTGGCTGAAGGGGACGGCTCTGGCGACCGCCGACGCTGTGAGTGGTGATCCGATCAGACAGGCTCGTGGGCATCGAGCTTTGGACCGACTTGTGGTGCAAGGTCGTGGCGCTGCTGTGCCGAGCGCGTGACTACATGTGCCCTGTTGGAGACGTGTGCCTGGCAGCAGTCACCAAGCAGCTTGCAGACGACGCGGCGGGCAAGAGCTGCGACAGAGCAGTCTGGCAACAACTTATAAGGAGTGAATGGGTCGCCATGAAGAGCGACGAGGACCCCAGCGCAGATTGGGCTACAGCTACGCTACTTCTGGACTTGTGGAAGGCCTTTGAGCAGATCCGACACGACAATCTGCTTCGTCTGGCTCAGAAGTTCTCGTTCCCACTCTGGCTGCTCAAGCTGCAGTTGGGCATCTACTCCAAAGCGCGTGCCTTGGTTCTCGATGGTGCAATCTCAGGCTTGATTTGGGTGCATCAGGCGGTCCTGGCTGGCGACTCGTTCGCCACGACATTTATGAAGCTGCAGCTCATGTAATCAGTTGGTCGCATGCAGCTGATGTGCCCCACGGTTACTCCTGCTATTGTTGTGGACGACCTGGTCTTACAGAGACATGGAGGCGATAAGCGAGTTGGCAGAGACAGCATCCTCGCCGCGCAAATGCTCGTCAATGGATTGGCTAAGGACAGCATCAGCATCTCCGTCAAGGCGTCTCAGGTGTTGGCGTCTACTCCAACACTGGAGAAGGAGCTGAAGGTCAAGCTACACAGGGTCACTGGAGCTCAGGCAGCGAAGCACGCCAGGAATCTCGGCACGGACTTTGTTCAAGGCCGAGCACTGGGGCGAGCAGATCGTCGAGCAAGGCTCCGAGCTGCTGGGCGACGGGTGCCACGTGTGCGACGGCTTCTGGGCTCTGGAGGTCGGCGAGGAATCGCTGCCCGTCTCGCCAAGCAAGGCCTCGAGGCAGGTTACGCGTACAGTGTGAACTGCACGGGGCTCAGCGACAACGATCTTCAGACTGCTCGCTCTTTGGCCTTTCGGGCCACCGAGGCTCGAGTTGACGGGACGAGTCGTGCGCTCAGCCTCATGCTGTCGCCTGTGCGTGAGCTTGATCCCATATTTCGAGCCACAATCGATCCCGTTTGTATGATGCACCGTGCTGTTTGGGAATCGTGGCTGCCGATGTCCATCCTGACCTCGGTGATGCGCTGGACCTCGGCGCACGTCGCGACCTGGGCTCAAGTTCGAGGGCCCATCAGCGCCGCCTTCCTGTCCCTCCTGCGCGTCGGGTGGGCCGCGACCAGCATCGCGACGTGGATCAACTCGGCGAATGGGGCAGTCCACAAGCCAATGGATTTCTCGCCATGGTATACCAAGCAAGTGGTGGGGAAAGCTGTGTAGTGGTGGCAATTCCAACATGTCGCGGATGCGATGCCGCACTTAGACAATATGTTCACCATAGCACATCTTCGCAGATGTATTCTCCGTGGACGGCCGACGGCGCCCCAGGGCGCACCTGGCCTACGCTCGGTGCTGGGGAGCGACGGTGCGCCAGATCGCTTGTGGTGAACGGCCAGTGGGTCAATCACCGACGATATCATACCAATCCACGGTATGCTCACTCTGAAGACTGTGCACTTTGTCCTGGGAAGGTCGGCAACTTGTGGCATCGGCATGTCGAGTGTGCTCACCACTGGCCACAACCGCAATTGCCAGCAACCATCGAGGTGCTCAAGCGGCATGTCGACCACCCCAACATCATCACGCTCGTCGAGAGGTTGCTGATGGTCAGGCCCAAGGTGCTATGGCAGGCGCCTCAAGATGAGTTGATGTCAGCTGTCCGATGGCTTCTCGGCAATGGAGAAATGCCCTTTCACAACGTTGAGCTCTTCACGGACGGTTCGGCGTTCGACCTCGACACCGACTTCGGCATGGCAGGCCGTGCAGTGGTGCATATTCCCCTCGGGCCTGGGTGGTTTGATCCAGGCCCGAAGTGTGCGCTGAGGGCGCTGGGGTCCCCGTTGGTGGGATTGCACCAGTCCGTTGAGGGCGCGGAGCTGCTGGCCATTCTGATCCTGGTGCGTCACAGTCTGGCGCCGATCACCGTGGGAGTGGACGCCAGCTACGTTGTCGATGGGCTGCTGTCTCGTGGGCGAGAAGGCACAGGTGGTTCGTCTCACAGTTGGGCGTTCCTTTGGAGATTGGTCTGGGATGCCATCGAAGACTTTGGTGGACTGTGCCCAGAGGGGCTGACTGTGGTCAAAGTCAAGGGGCACGGGACCATCGGGGACGTCGAAGCGGGCAGGCTGACACGCTGGGAGCGCCGTGGCAACGTCGAGGCAGACGGTTAGGCCAAGCAGGTCACTCGCCCTTTCGCATTGGGGACAACTGACGGGGACAAGCTCTGGCGCACCGACCTCATGGTTGACGGGGTGGTTGCGTGGGTCTCCTGCGCTGGCGCTCCTGCCGCAACCACCCGTGATGACATTGATACGGAGGTGGTTATCAAGCAGCCGCCGAAGATTCAGCTGACCCTCACCGCGCACGAGTTCGTGGAGGAGGCTGGCTGCTGGCGGTGCTCTACGTGTGGGCGCTACGCGAGAACGAATGAGTCTCAGCGCAAGCTCACCTACCTGCCCTGCATCCCGAGGCCAGGTCCCTACCAACTGGCCGTGGGAGACCCTTGCTCAGGGGCCAAGCGTCCTGCAGCGGCTGCAGGGCTTGTGGCAGCAGCAACGGTTGCTGCCATGGCAGCGTCTCAGAGCAGTGCAGATGGCCGAGAGGACGGGGATGGAGATCAGCACCAGCCTGAGCCACCCTCTTCGTGTGCAAGTGCGGGTGCGTCGGCAGCGATGTCTTCGTTGCCCGCTGGTGCTCGTGGTCATGATGTTCGCATTGTATGTGGTTTTCGAGTGGGCGTTAAATGTTGCTATTTTGTTCGTGAACGTGACGGACTGCTTCGCCAGCTTGGGAAGGATTGCACAGGACATCCTACGAAAGGCGACAACGCAGGACGTGTTCGACGGCAGCGTCGAGATTTGATTCTTCAGGGCGTGGACCCTAAGACGAGGCAGCGTCTGCCTGAGTGAGTGAAAATTGCAGCGTGCTTTGGCTTGCTCGCCGCGTTGTTTCTTTTGTTGGTGCCCTGGGGGGTCTCTGAAGGTTCGCTGCAGTAGCCCGCGGCAGAAGCCCCTGTGTTGGCTGTCCTTGTTTGCGGATACTGCACGCTTCGCGTGAGCTGGAGTGAGCGTGCTTCTTCCTTTTCAGGTGTGGGCCTCTCGCATGGCGGACTCCTGTGCGAGTTGTCGTGCTGGGCCTGCGCCATCCTTTGCATATGCACGCTTCGCGTGTCACGACCGTGTGTTGCACGTCGGCGATGGTCCTCCTAAGTTGAGTGATGATCGTTCTTCCCGTGCCATAGCACACGCTTCGCGTGGTCTCAACTTGGGGCTGTGCTTGAGCGCTTCGCGCGACGCTCGCCCGAAGGGTTGAGCTCCGCCGTGCCTTTGCTGTGGCGTGGACTGTGGGATCCTGCCGTAGCCTTGCATGGTTGATCGGGCCGAGGGGCTCGGTTGGGACGGCCCTGGTGGCTGTCGTGTGTACAGCTTGGCTGTGCACACCTGCAGAACCAACCGCACACACGCACACACGCACACACGCACACACGCACACACGCGCACACACGCACACGCACACACGCACACACGCACACACGCACACGCGCGCACACACGCGCACACGCGCACACGCGCACACGCGCACACGCGCACACGCGCACACGCACACACACGCACACGCATACACGCATACACGCACACACGCGCACGCATGCACACGCGCACACGCGCACACGCGCACAAGCGCACACGCGCACACGCGCACACGCGCACCCAAGCACCCACGCACACACGCACACACGCACACACGCACACACGCAAACACGCACACACACACACACTCACATACACACACACACTCGCGCACACGCGCACACGCAAACACGCGCACGTACACACACGCGCGCACACGCGCACGCGCGCACACGCGCACACGCGCGCAATCGCACACACGCGCGTAATCGCACACACGCGCACAATCGCACACGCGCACACGCGACACGCGCACACGCGACACGCGCACGCGAACGCGCACGCACACACGCACACGCGTACGCACACGCACACGCGCACACGCGCACACGCGCACGCGCACACACGCACACACGCACACACGCACACACGCGCACGCACGCACGCGCGCACACGCGCACAAGCGCACACGCACACACGCTTCAGTGCACACGCGCGCACACGCGCACACGCGCACACGCACACACAGGCTCACACAGACACAGACAGACACACACACACAGACACACACACACAGACACACACACAGACACACACGCACGCACGCACACACGCACACACGCACACACACGCACACACGCACACATGCACACACGCACGCACGCACGCACACGCACGCACACGCACGCACACGCACGCGCACGCACGCACACACGCACACACGCACACAGGCACACGCACGCACGCACGCACGCACGCACACACACACACGCACACACACAGACACACACACACACGCACACACACACACACTCACAAACACACACACAACACACACACACACTATCACACACAATCACACACACGCACACGCACACGCACACGCACACCCACACGCACACACGCAAACACGCACACACGCACACATTCACACATTCACGCACACACGCACACACGCACACACGCACACACGCACACGCACACACGCACGCACACACACAATCACACACACACACACCACACACAGTTCGTGGCCCATTGGGAGCTCCAACTAAGGCCCTCATGCGAGGGTCCGCATGATGCCGCCGACCCATTTCGGCACACCCCTCACACGCTCCAGGGCCCCATGGGGAGCTCCAGCTATGGCCCAAACGCAAGGGTCCGCAAGGCGACGTCGCCCCATTCCGACATCACCCTCTCACGTTTCGTGGGCCCTCAAGAAGTTCAATTTGAAGCCCAAGCGCAAGGGTCCGCAAAACGGCGCCGCCCCATTTCGGCACGCCCCTCTCACGTTCCGTGGACCGTCAGAAAATTCAAGTCCAAGCGCCCGGATCCGCAAGGCGGCGCCGCCCTACTTCGGTACACCCCTCTTATGTTTCGCGGGCCCTCAGGGAGCTCCACTGAAAGCCCAAGCGCCAGGGTTCGCAAGGCGGCGCCGCCCCCTTTCGGCACACCCCTCACGCGTTCCGTGGGTCCACTGGGGAGTCCCAGCGAGCGCTTCAGCAACAGTGTCCGCTCGGCGTACCCGGTCCCCGTTCGGCACGCCCCTCGCACACTTCGTGGCTCCATAGGGTGGTTCCACCGTTGCCCCAGTGCCAGTGTCCGCATGGCGTACCCGCCCCCAACGCGGCACACCCTTCACGTGTTCCAGGAGATGCGCGCCAATCTGTCGAGTTGCCCGCATCCCTCCTTCTTCTCAATTGCCTTGCGGTACTCGCAGCTTCATCTGGTCGGGTCCTTCGTCAGGATCATGTTTTGGCACTCTTTCGAGCGGACACGGCGCGTCAGCAGCGGCAGCGGCGGTCAGAGCTGATGTCTTATGGCTCGGCGGCGCGTCGAAGGGGGAAACGAGAGCGAGGGCAGGCTTTCTCAGAAGGCCCGCGGGGGCTTCTCAGTCCCCCCCCCAACAAGCCTTCCGAGACGCCGCGTCTCTGTCTTAGGAGAGAAGGCGTAGAGAAAGCTTACTCGGAAGGCCACAGGGCCTCCTGCCCCCTTTTCTGACCAGGCCCGCCCCCTCCGCCTTCCCCCCCCCCCCCGGGCGCGCCGCCAAGCATGTGGTGCCTCCGGGCATGCCCTCGCCGCCGCGCGCTCGAGGCTGCAGCGGGCGGGTGCCGCCGCGGGGCGGCCCCGCGCGGGGAAGCGGGCTCCGCGGGCAGAGGCGACGGGCCTGCAGCGGAAGCGGTCCGAGGAGCCGCCCTGCGGCTCTCCCAGGGATGTGCGCCACCACCACCTCCACTCCTCCTTCCTCCTCTCTTCCCTCCTCTCCCTCTCCTCTGTCGTGGGAGAGGGAGGGGGAGAGGGAGGTGGTCGTAGTGGTGGTGGTGGTGGTGGTGGTGGTGGTGGTGGTGGTGGTGGTGGTGGTGGTGGTGGTGGTGGTGGCGTGTGTACGTATCTTACACATATAAGTAGCGTTTTCTTTTAGCCCCGTACTTTCGAAGCCCTCTCCGAAGACAGAGTCGGCGTCTCAGAAGGCCGCAGGGCTTCTGAGAAGCCCCGCCGGCTTTCTGAGAGGACCTGCCCCCTCTCATTTCCCGCCCTCTGCGCGCCGCTGGCTCAGCGGTCCGGCCCCCGCACGCTTTTGGGACCTCGGAGGTCCCCGTCCCCCGAAGCATCCGTCGAGATGGCCCACGTCTCAAAACTGTGCGGCCACCCCACGCTGCCTTCTGGATCACCCGACGGTTCGAAGGCACCGTGTCAGGATTTCCGCCTGGAGGAGGAGGAGGAGGCGGAGGAGGAGGAGGAGGAGGAGGAGGAGGAGGAGGAGGAGGAGGAGGAGCGCGGCGCGGACCAGGAAGACCCTGCTGCTACGACCGCCCCGCGCCTCATCAGCTCTGGTGGGGCCCACGCTTGATGACGTGCCCGCTCGAGCTGTTGTCGGACTCGCCAGAGCCGTCGCCTCCCCCCGGGCCTCCGCCGAACATGGTAGCGAGGGACACGCCGTTGCCGCTGGCCTTGGCCTGCTGGTACTTTTGGAAAATGAGGTATAGGAACGCGCCGACGACCATCATCCGCACGACGCCCTGCTGGCCCGTGGCCCACAGGGCGGCGAGGATCCCTCCGACGAGCAGGTAGACGAGGGGCACGTCCGCCTCTCCAATGCCGAAGATAGGGGAACGAAAAATGGCATGAACTTAAAAACTCGGAGTTCCGCACGGATTTCTTGGATCCGCGCTGGACCCCCCGCCCCTGGCGCGCGGAGCGCGCCAGGGGCGGCGCTGGAGGCGCCGCCAGGGGGCCCCGGCGCCGATCCGAGAAATCCGCGCGGACCTCCGAGTTCTATGTTCATGTCGCTGTTCGCTCCCCTGGCAGAACCCGCCTACCTTCTGCGTCCTCCCGTGGATGCCCAGCGCACGCGCCAGGTCCCCCGTCAAGAGGTCCTCCGAGGGCTGGGCGCCCGCAGGCGGGGCGCCCGCGCCCTGCGCCCGGGCGCCGCCCGGGGCCGCGGCAGCGCCGCCGCCGCCGGAGCCGCCCGGCGAGGAGTGGATCCCCGCCGGCCTGTTGGCGAAGCCCTGGCCGGAGCCGCGCGGGGCGGCGCCCGGGGCCGCCGCCTGCTTGGCCCTCGGGTCGTTGTCGGGCACGATCTCGCCGCTGGTCGGGTGTTGCCAGGAGTGGCCCTGGCCCAGGGGGGCTCTCCCAGCGCGCCGCGCCCTCCCGAGGCCCCTGGGGCGCCCTCTGGGCCTCGTGATGGGGTGCTCTGGAGGCCAGCAGGGCCTCCCCAGGAATCGCTGGGACGCCGGATAGAAAGCAGAACACCCGCCCTCGACACGCGAAGCCGCTTCGTAGACGCGCCCAAAGCAGGAATCGAACAGGGCAGGGCTGTTTCGGAAACGTTTAGTAAGCACCCATGATCGGGTCCGGGTGTTTTTTCCTCCCTTGGCCTTGGGTTAGTCGGGCCTTCCCCTCTACAGGGGGGAAATTCAAAACTAGTCAGAAAATAGTCAGGGGACGATTTCTGCACCTTTTTGAATTTTTT